AAAAAAAAAAAAAAAAAAAAAAAATTCACTAAAAATCTGGTTAATTGAAAATGTGTATGCCACTATATTTGGAAAACCAAAACTACTCTCATCATTTTATCAGTTTCCCCTCACCTCACAATAGTTCAGATGAACTCAAGCACTTCTAATATGTATAGTTGCATATTTTCCACTCTTTTTTTTTCTTCGTTTTAATTACTCAGAATTCGCATGGATCTCAATGTTGTCCATCTTTTGTGGTTTCCAGGTACAGTTTAAGTTATATTCCTTTTGCTCGTAGAATGGTTTCAAATGTCACTATCCGCCTTTTTGACACTGAAATTTAGCGGATTTGATGCTGAAGCAATATCACTCCAGTATATTTTCAGTGCTGGTCTGTAGTCTACTCAACTTGGAAGAGGTGCTTCCCCGCTGATTGTTTTGAAGAAATTGACAATTCTTTCTGGTTTTCCTCTGCTGACAAAAGGAACTCCTATTTTCAATCAGGTGTGAATGAATTCGTTTGGACTGTTAACTTTTATGCTGACAAATGTTTGTTTCCTGTGGTTTCTCTTCATTTCGGAAGGTTATGTTTGCTTTCTTCTTGTGCTGCCCTGCTCACCTCATAGTTGCCCTATGCCTGATTGACAAATGACTTCACCCCCCTCCCTCACACAACAAATTTAAAACATTAACGAAACATATCAAACTCTTGATATATCTTCTCTACTTTGTTCTTGTCTTTCAACTGTTCTGTTATTTTTTCTCATTGTATACATCTGTTCTTTCTGATAGAGCTTTTTATATTTAGGATACTATATCGGGAATGACTAGAAAACCAAAACGGACATCTGTTATGTTTCTTACTATTTTGTTCTTACGATTTAGAGGACACAGAAATGATTATTCATCTCTTCCTATACACATTCTCAAAAGTTACTTCTAACTGTATGCTAGTTCATGTTTTCTTATGAATCCTTCCGGGTGATATCAAAAAGTACCCATAAACTAACATGAGATGCACCTTTCCTTTCTAATTATTCTTTAGCCTGCAGTGCACCGGCTTCTTCCTTAATGGCGTGTCTCAATCTCAACCACCCGAGAACTTAGTGACCTTTGTGCCATTGTGATAATCTTCCTTAAGAAGAGTAAATGAGGATGTATAAAATTTCTGTAGTATTTAAAGCGTATTAGAACTTTTTATCTGTAGAATGGGGTAATTTTTGGACAATATGAAAAGAAAAAGAGAACTGTTAAGAGATCAAGCTAAAAAGTAACAATATCAGAGATGAAAGCAAGAGAGGAGAGCTTTTCTTATTTCTTCCAGGTGTGTTCTCTATTTGTACTATTCCAGGTTACAAGAAGGTTGTCTTAAACTTGACATTAACCATTGAGATTATATTTCATAATTGGAACAAGCATTTTGGGATGGAGTATTTGTTAGTGAACATGTGAGCCCGAATGTTTACTTTTGTACTTTGTGAAGAATATAATGGAGAAGTACTAGTATTGGAAGGAGTAAAAGTTGGATTTCGCATAATTTGAGCTATATAGGATGTATATAGGGAAAATGACAGTGTATGGATGTATATAGGGAAAATGACAGTGTATAGCTGCTCTCAAAATAATAGCCGAAAAATGTATATTTTTGTATATATGTACATTTTGTATGCTATATATAAAAATTATATAAATTTTAATGCATTTTTTCAGCTACCAAATATAAATAGTTTCTGGTGCTGGCTAAAAATAAAATAAAAAAAACCCTATTTAAATTGACAACATCTTGAGATGGCCTACGGTGGCCCAATCCATAGCGATAGTACTAATTCACTGTGAATGAACTGAGCTGGACTTTTCGACAGAGCATTACTATGAATATTGTCCAAAAAAACAGCTTGACCTGTTTCTTTACTTGGAAACTGGAGTAATTATTTACCTCACAAATCTCAATCTCCCTTGTTAAAATTGAACATAGTGTTAAGTAAATGAAATAATGCCACATTATCGACGGGACGCTCCTGGCTTTCCTTGATATTCAGGTGATAATTTTGTGTCGTTTCATCTGTTGTTATTTATGTTCCAATATCTTCTTGTCATTTCTCCAACACACTCCGTTTTCTATTCTATTTCAGAAGAAAATAGAGACGAGGACCTTGAACTGAAATAAATAATTGTTCGAATGGAACCTCTCTTCAACCATTGATTGCTATCTGTCACATCAATTTTCTAGAATCCACCGAAAACTGTATGGAAATGGAAAACATGTAAAGTTACTTTCGTCCCAACTCCAACAATCAGAAGTAAATCATCAACCTCTTGCGTCCTCTTCCTCTTTTAGAAACCAGACATAGTGTTAACATTTAGGTGGCTTTGTTGTAGTGCTTAGAATCTCTAATGTCTAAGGAGAATAAGATCCAGCAAAAGTATTGTTTAATCTCGCTTTCAACTTCCTGTTTCTAATTTATCCCACATTTCCTTGCTTAAAATAGATCCATGTTTACAATTCATAAACCAAAAAAAAAAAAAAAAAAAAAAAAAAAAAAAAAAAAAAAACTAGGAGACGTGGTGGTTTATTTCAACCCAAATCAAGAATTTTATGATGTGTTTGGTGAGAGGAGCCATTTTATGGTGTTTGGTATGAGGGAAGTTATTTTCCAAGGAAAATATGTTTATCAGATGGAGAAAAACGACTTCCATACTTATGGGGGCGGAAACTCTTTTTCTTACAACTATCTTTATTCTTTACCTTTTAACTTCATATTATTTATTTTTGCTAATACGTAAACATTGTTATTAACTTTAATCACTCAAAATTTTATAATACTATTATTAATCTATATATTTTCCCGAAAAATATTGTCCTCTCGTCAACCAAACACCCAAACCACATTTTCAAGAAAATAAAAACATTTTCCTAGAAGAATGACTTCCTTCGTTACCAAACACAATCATCGTACTAACTGTTGTGGCTGTGCATGCGCTTAGTTTCCAAAACTTTCGTCGCATGTGGTCATGGAGTGTAATAAAAATAAATGGTCCATTCCAGAGTCCCATAATGGCTAAAGTTTTCCTCAACCCCCCCCCCCCCCCCCCACCAAGTAGGTTAGGCAGCGGTTTCAATTTGCATTACTGGGGATATACAAAGGAGGTGTATTCCCTTATTCGTCAATGTGTTTTTGGCCACATTGTTTGCTAGTACATATCATCCATATAACCTGCCAAAAGAACACTAACTGAAATTCAAGATTTGGTAGTTTAGGTGTATTCAAGATTTGTTTAAGCATACTATTATATATGCAAAGGTCACTTCAATAAATGAACGTGCGAGTATGCAAGTGGAATAGGAGTAGTAGTATCAGAAAAATTGACCTTTTGTCTTTTGTCTGCAGCAACTTGATTATTAAAGAAAACTTTCTTTCTGACTCTTCACTTCCTAACGGCCAACAGGTAACAATGACCGACCTTTGGAATCAGGAAGGACTAAACCCCTTCAATCAGTGAGGTCCCCTCACTCTTTGAACTGGCCAAATTCACTTTTTCCTTTTACTTAAATAATCAAATTCTTGTCACTTAATCTCTTCATCACGTCTCTCTAATTCTCCTTTAAACAATTAGTAACCTTTATGACATGACTAAATTAAATTTATTTCATTTTGTATCAACAACAACGACGATCAGTAAAAATCTCACAAGTGGAGTCTGGGAAGGATAGTATATACACAGACTTTACCCCTACCCCGATGGAGTTATTTCATTTTGTATCATTCCATTTAATCTTTCATCATGGTCGTCCATCTCGTTGACTATCATGTTATTATGCTAACACGAAAAACTTACTCACTCAGTACTTACTCCATATCTTAATCATTTATCATTGATTAAATAGTATTTTGATCCTACATCCAATTCAGAATCTATAAACTTTAGCAGAGGTTCTTGATTTTAAATTAAACAAAATAATCTCTAACTGCCGTTCCAATTTGGCAATTTTGTCTGTTCGCCGCACCCTGACAATTCGTCAACATGCAAAATATCTTAATTTAGGATCAATTATTAGGTTATGGAGAATGTAAGACAACTCCATGTTCAGTTCATGTCTTCACATCTCCCTCCTTTTAAATTTCCATTTGCGTACTTTTTAAATATAACATAGCATAAGGTTGCTAGCATGTTGAACTTTTTGGGGTGCTGAAAAAAGAAAGGGAAGAAAAATTGTTATTCAGCTTATTTTTTTCATGATTTTCCAGCAAAAAGGGATTGGGCGAAAAATACATTCAGAAACTTTTATTCATATACTTCCAAGTTCCAAAGCCATATTAGTTTTTTTAATTTATAACCCATGACTCATCACTTTATCTTGTTACGTTGTTCAATTCATTATGTTACATTCAGGGGGTAAGTGACAAAGTTACTTGCCACTAAAGGACAGTGAACGATCAACTGCTGCCAACTACTACTCATAATTTTGAATTTCGGTTAGTGTCTCGTTTTTTTAATTTGAATTGAATTATTAGTTTATTCTATATTCTCTGGCTTTGCAACCTATAATGTACACAATGTAAGTCNGGGGGGGGGGGGGTGTTGTACAAATTGCCATATTTTATTTCTCTTCGAACCATAAAGAATCAAATTCTTTTGTTTATTTAATTAATAAACTTACATAACTTTAAGATCCTTTGAGCATTGTGATTTAATTATATTTTTTTATAGATTCGATCGCTGCAACTTTATTCTTTTTAATTGATTTGACAAATTATTCATTTTGGATCTTGACAGTGACGCCGTTAAGAGAGCATGCATACCTCCACTTCGTTTGTTTTTTCTTGATTGTTTATTGTCGATGAAAATAAAGAATTCACGTGGAAAGAAAGTAAGAACATTGTTGATTCTCTAAATTTGATAATAAAAATAAAGATTGATCGGTAAAGAATTGCCTTGTCTGGTGTACAGTGTATGCTTTGGTTCGGAATTAGGACTTGCTAAGCTGGTACTAGGTTCGGAATGATGCAGTTTCAGTGATTACCAAATTAATTAAGACCCTAATAATATGACATACTAATAAAATATTCTTGGTTGGTGAGTGAGTATCTCACCTACTCCGGATTAATGATACTAATTAGTAACATTTACCTCAGGTGATTTAGTTTGTTGATGATCACAGTTTTCTTAATAACTTTCTCTATATCTGTCAACGTACCAAAAAGATTAATAACAACTAGCATAATGATGCTTTTGAATCCTAAATAAAAGAAAAGCGTTGTATATTTATATAGTACAAAATTTTCTATTACATTTTAGAATAAACCTAGCTAGTAATTATCAATTAGACAAAGCATGGAAACAGGAGGTCTTGTGCTAAAGTTGATGTCATGTGATCAGGAAGTCATGGCGGGTTCGATATGTGAAAACGACCTCTTATAGAAATGCAGGGTAAAGATGCGTATAATAAATCCTTCTGATCCGGTCCTTCTTCGGATCCCGCGCATAACAGAAGTTCAGTGCACCGGGTTGCTTATTTTTCTTTTTAACAAAGCATGGAAACCTTTTGTTAAAGAATGTACAAACCGCAGTCCCGTGGAAAGTTATAAAAGAAAATTAAGAAATAGAATGATGTGCTAAAGAAGAAAGAAAAGATGGCTTGTTTTCTTTCTGCCAATCAGAATAATCCTTAATTTATCGTACCAGGGACCCTATAGGGTCGTTAATTACAAGATTGCAAGATCCTACCCTTAAGCCTACCATGTTAGGTAAGTCTTCGTTTTCATCATTATTTTGAAGTGGTATAAGAAGGTGTGCTAACTGACCAAATTTATTATTGGGTCCAGAGGTGGAGTCAAGAATCCAAATAAGTGAATTTAAGAAATTGCAAATTTGCACCAGAAGTTAATACACTTAACTATCAAGGGGATTCAATATAATTTATGTATTAATACGTACAAGATACGAGATAGTCTCTACTTTGGAGAAATTCCTTAACCAATTTAATACATCCATTTCTTTTAATTTGTTTAAGCAACTATGCTTAACAGTTTCATTTTTTCCTGGATTTGGGGTGGTACAGGGCGTAGGGCGCGCGGGGGGATGAGAGCCCTCTAAATAGCAAATGGGTAAGTATGCATGCTACATTCTTTTTATGTATGCGTGGGGCAACCACAGGGAGAGAAATATTAAAATGCAGATCATCAGGAAAGTTGAAGTTGGTGATCCAATTCTTGGGCAGTCTAGCTTTCCTTGTTTGATTAAACATATGGTAAGTTTGAAAAAACTTTCCTTGTTTGATTTGACATTAAATTTACATCTAATTGTTTGATAAAAAAATGTCCATATTCAAATTATGGAATTACATAAAGAAATCCAATAAATATATATAAATTATTAATTTAAAACTCAGTAACTTAAAATAATTTTAATCTGAAACTCATAAAATTTAAATCCTAGTTTCGCACCCGAGAAGAGCGATTGTCACCATCAAGTGGAATCGAATACCTGCAAATTATATTGTGATAAGCACGTTTTACTCTCCATTTTTTATACTATAATTTAAGTACTCTTTTGATCTTTTATGATTTGAATTCTGACACATTACCAAACTCTTTGTTTTATCTAACTGCTTATAATAAGTGGTCGTGAAGCACGCCCCATTCACATTATT